GCGGCGCAGGCAAACGGGAGGCAAGGGCAAGGGGCAGCCCTCCCCGTCCGCTCCGCCAGGAGAGCTGGAGGAGGGGGGGGGGGAGATGGGGGATGGAGAGGAAGGAGGAGGCGCGCCTGCGCCAGGCTGCCAGGGTCCCAACACAGGTGTGGCCTTGGGCATGTTTTCCCGCCGCTCTGTGCCTCAGTTTCTCCACGTGTAAAATGGGGATCACTTACTTTACGGGGCCAGGGAAATCTGACAAGTTAATACATGTGGGGGTGCCTGGGCTAGGGCACGCGTGCTCACTGAACGTTGTTATTACTGCTGTAGGTCAGGACTAGGGGCAATGTGCTGGAGTGATTTCGAGGTCACCTTCCACGCCCAGACAGCCTCACCAAGATCTAGAGTTGAGATGGCTTCACTGAATCCGTGGGACCGTGGGACTGAGGCGGACCGAGGGAAGAAACTGAACTGCACGAACGACAGCCGGCCCAGCCAGCGCAAGGGCACATGGGGGATTCTCGGCAGAGCCAGAACTCCCCAAGGGTCCGGGGTTTCAGGAGCTCCCTGGGTCGTTCCAACGCGCAGCCAGAGCAGAGAAGCACCTCCCTAGGATCCTGGTTCCCACGTCTTTATACGTCAGGGTCTAGCGAAGTGCCGGGCACTTGGCGGGCTCCCTGTGCTCCCCATTAGCGCACAAGGCCCATGCAGTCCTTGCTGTATTTGGGATTACGGTTCCTCGTTCTTTTCCATCCTAGTCTGACAGCTGCTGGGGACCATTCATTCTCTAGGAGCCCAGCCCTTCCTGGGGCCAGGATTCGGCATTTTTAACAAGTTCCCGGGTGGCTTGGAGCCATCGCCAGGTGTGAGGCCCCCTGCTCCAGAGAGAGGGGTGTGCCTGTTGCACCCCTTTCGACCTAGGGAGCGCTCGGACGCGCGGGGAAGGCGGGGAGGGACCGAGGCGCGGGGCCCTCCCCTCCCCTCCCCGCCGCCCCCGGGCCCCGCGCCGCGCTCACCGGTCACGCGGAGCCGGATGCCGTGGCGGCTCTCGTAGCGGTCGTGGACGTCGCCGGCGAACTCGACGCGGCAGAAGTAGCGGCCGTCGTCGGCCAGCGCCAGGCGCTCGATGCGCAGCGACAGGTCGTTGCGGCGCGGGTTGCCGAGCAGCCGGAAGCGGCCGTGCAGGCTGAGCGCCGTCTGGCACAGCTCGCTGCCCCGCGCCGCCGCGCACCGGAACACCTGCGGGCCCGCGTACGGCTCGCCTGAGCGCCAGATGGCCGTGAGCGGCCCGTCGTAGTGGCGGTGCGGGTGCGTGAAGGTGCAGGGCAGCACGGCCGCCTCGCCCGCCGCCGCGCTCGCCTCGGCCGGCACCTGCATGGACCAGCGCTGCGCCGGCGCACCTGCGGGCGGGGGCCGCGCGGCCGTCAGACTTGCCCGCACCCTCGCGGGGGCGGTCTGAAGACCCCAGGACTCAGGAGCCGCCCTTCCCACCCCCGGACGGGGGGCGTCTGGAAACCCACTCCAGGACTTCAGAAGAATCTCCCGTGCCCTTGACTCCCATGACTTTCTAGGTACCTGGACCCGCCCCCCGACTTCCGTGGGACTATTTCCCCCCACCTCGGGTTCGGTCCTACCTCATCTACAAGCCCAGTGACCCCGACTTCTTCCCCATCAAAACCTGCCCCGCTGCAGGAAAGCCCTGGGATCCTGTCGTTACAGTTAAGTCCCAAGACCCCTTCTCCGCTCCCCCTCCCCGCCACGGTGGTAATAAAAGCACTTACTGTGCACCTCTGTGTTGAGCAAGCTCCTGGTAGTATCTCTTTTAGTTCTCACAAATGATCCTAGAGGTAAGCAGAGTTTTCCCTGGGTTATGCGTTCATAAACCGAGGCGCAGAGAGGTTGAGTAATTGCCTGAGGTCACACAGCTAGGATGAGGCAAGCAGATGTTCAAACTCAGGAATGCCTGACTCCATAGGGCACCCTAGTGCTCTAAGGGCAAGGAACCTTGGGGCTGATCCAAGGAGACCAACACTCTCATTTACAGAGGGGAAACTGAGGCCTTGGGAGGGAGTGGTATGTTTCGAAACTGATGTGTTGAGTTGGGTGATGAGATTCCTCCTACCATCCGGGTCAACACAAGTAGGCTTCCCGAAAGGCCGGCGCTCAGACAGGGAGCTGGAAGATGAAGAAGAGTGGGTGTTTATTCTGTCTACTTGCTTTGCACAAGAGCCTTTGGGCTCAAGTTTCCTCGCCTCCTATGCTGTGAGCCTCTGAAGGATGGTTAAGCTGAGGCCTGGAAGCTGCATTCTGCCTCCAGCCTACGGAGGGCTGGTGAGCCTCTGCGGGTTTTGTTGCGTATGTGTGCTGCTTTGAGGGAGGGGTGAACCGGATGGGTGGATGGGTGTCAGTTCTGGGAGGATCAGGACCCGGGGCAGGAGGGCAGGCTTAGTGTCTGGCGCCCAAGTGCAGTTCACGGAAGGGATCTTCACAGGGAATGTTAAAAACTACCCTTGTATTTTCGAAGGGCTTTGCAACTGACCTGGTTCTTTCACATGCATCATATCCCATGACCCTGAAAACACTCTGGGGGAAAAGGCAAGGCAGATACTGTTACAGATGAGGAAACGAAGGCCCAGAGTCACACAGGTTGAAGGTGGGAGAAACCCAGATTTTCTGACTCCAAGTTCAGTGCTCTTTGGGGTAGCTCTCCTCGTGCCTTGGGCAGGAATCCCCTCCACCCCCAGCTGACAGACCACCCTCCAGAGAACTCATCTCATCTGTGAATAGTCTGCATGTCAGGACTTCCCTTCTGCACAGAACCCCTGGCTCCTGCCCCCAGCATGACCACTGCTGCTCTTTGGAGCATTCACGTTCCCTGTCTGTGATGGCTCTTCCAGGATCCCATCATGGACATCTCGGACCCAGTAAGGCTTTCCTTCTCTGGGGGAGGTCCCAGTCCCTCACCTGCCCCTCTCCATCCTCACTGCCCTCTTGGTACTCTCCCCTGCAGTGTAGTGTGTTGACCCCCTGGGGGCTCCAGGTGTGCTGGGCCAGGCGGAGTGTGGTGCAAATAGGGTTGTGTGAGATATGCCTCATATAAAACCCCACTTTGGGACTGACCACACTTGCAATGAAATAAAACCTCCCCACATAGCCTGCTTCTAAGCCAAGTTCTTTTCTTCTGTACAAATGGAATTATGCTTTTGAGCCAAAGTGGGGGACTTGACATTTATCCCTAGTTAGAGCTTGTTTGCTCAGTTATTAATAATCAAAGGACTTTGTTCCAAATTTGAGAATCCCTTTCTGAAGGTTATGCTGGTTCTGTCAGTACTTCTAGCTGCAGAAAGTGTCTCCCGATCTGGAGGTTCAGCCCCTGCATTCCCATCCTCTGTGACCTCAGCCTCCTCTGACCTCCTGCATCTCACAGACATCACAGAGCCAGGGACCAATTCCCCAGGGATTGTTTGCAATTGTCTATTCATCGATTGACAAACATTAATCAGACACATCTCCACTCTAAGCCAGGAACTGGGTTGCAAACTGCAACAGAATAACTTATTCGCCTATTGGAGCTCACAGCTCGGAAAGGGAGTGAGATCCATGAACACGCATTTAACACTGCAGCCTGCAGGTGCTCTAATGAGAGACACGATCAGTGTTCCCTCTGTCTGAACATATTTCCTGGCCCCCTTCACTCACCAGCTCCCTCCTAATCACCCGGAGGCCTCCACGGAGTCATCCTATAGCAGGAGGTCTTCCTCGAGCCCCAAGCCTGTCTTGCCCAGGCACCCAGAAGCTCTGGGAGGGCAGGGACCATGTGGGGGGGGGTCATACTTGTGCTGCTGTGACCCACCACCATGCCCGCCACATACTAATTGACACTGAATGGAATCGCCATGAGAGAGAAGCAGGGAGGCTGCCGGGGTTGGTGGGAGAGGGTGGGTGGGGCCCAGGGGAAGAGGTGCACGGATAGGAGACAGCAGGGCTTCATTGGAGGACCAATGAGAGCCTTGAGAAAGGAGTGGGATTTGCTAAGCCCTGAGGTAGACTGAAGGCATTCTAGGCAAAGGGCAAGCTGTAGGTATGGACATCAGCGCAGAGGTTGCGGGGCGTAATGCTCTGGGGGTGAGTCGGGAGACAGTCCTCATCTTATTCCAGATGCACAACAGCCCATGGAGTGCTGTCATTAGCCCCCTTTTCAAGAAGGGGAATCTGCAGCTCAGAGAGCCCTAGGGACTTGGCGAGGCCACTTGCCCAGCGGGAAGCAGAAGCAGGCTTCTGCTACGGTGGGTCACTTTCTCACCTTGTCCCTGGGGGACTTGTCCTGCTTGAGGATGACAGACCAGTTTGGGCGCATCCTGACATCCGGTACAAGTGACAGGCCAGGGCCACTCCCTCCCTGGGGGAGCTTTGCTCTGGGAGCGGGGAGGGCACACAGAGGCCCTTTCACCAAGTGTGACAGTCTTGGCTCCCAGTAAGGTGAGATCTGTGTTTCATGTTTACCAGCGGAATGGCGTTCCAAGGGGCGGGCACCTGGGCTCACGTTCACACAGAGACCTTTGGGTGAGTCCACCCAGGGGACTTGAGGTGAGGGTGGGAAGGCCCAACGGGAGTTGCACAGGGAGCAAATGCATTTGCCTTGGTGGGAATCCAAGCGCCTCAGTCTCCTGTTTACATTCCCTGTGGCAGCTCCTGCATGTCTCTTAGGATACGACAGGGACAGCTCCTGGACTGGAACCACGGCCCTGTTTTTGTAGGATCTCTACCCTCCCTGCCTCGTGGCTGTCAACCTCCGGGGTCAACAGGAGGCCCACAGCACTGAGGATGGAATGAAGTCACTCTGGCAGGTCACTGGCACAGTACAGTACTGACACTCAGCGAACGCAGAGTGATGTTAGTCCCCTCTTTCACTAGCACTGCAAAGAGAGTGGGACCAGCGAGAGCAGGGTAGCAGTGTTAACCAGTGATGGAGAAGGAGGAGGGCTCTGGATGTGCAACTCAAGGTGATGCAGCGGGGGGTCAGGACACTGACACCCAACACTGTACCATCTGCCGCTCAGCTTGGCACCTGAGACCACGTGTAATGATTTGCCCTTAACTCACCTGAAGGCTAGTCACTGATTCTTGTACTTATTCACTCGATAGATGTTTACTGAGGACCCGCCGTGTGCTGGACACTGTGCAGGATGTTGAGGATACAGTTGCGGTGACCGTCAGTGGCCTCTTGAGTATGTTTCAAATCTCAGCCACTGTTTGTTTTTCATTTATACACAATTCTAACGAGTTTGTTCACTTTGCTTTCCAGCCTAGGGCAATACAGATTGAAAAGCGAGAAAGTGTGTTTTGTTTGTGGGTCCTCTGAAAGCAGCAAGAGAGGATAACCAGCATTCGGTCAAGGAGGAAGTGTCAGTAAATATAATAAGAAGTGGTAGGAGTTCAGCACAAAAGGGACCATTGAGAGGAGGAGTAAGCGCAGAGGGCCTCGAGGCATCACCATGCGCAGCAAGCTAGTGGAGCAGGTGCTCACGGCCGTGACCTGGGTCTCCTTGGGAAGGTTCATTGCCATGAGAGGTGCACCCCTCAGATGGGGTCTCAGGGGTCTGCCTGGGGCTGCAGCCCTGGCTAGAGTGACCCTGACTTTGTGAGCTTAGGAGAGTCCCCATAGCTCCCTGGCTTCAATGCACTCATCCGTGAAATGTCTATAGATGTTTGTAAGGTGACTTTCAAGTTTAAAAGTCTATGTCCACAAATGATAGTTGGATAAAGATGGCAAAGAAGTCTATAAAGCATTTTAGAAATATGTCAATATGAAATTAATTGAAACACTCTCAGGTACTTAAAAAGAAGCCATTAGCTGTCTAGAAAACCAAGTTACTTTGAAAGATGCTCCCATGCCTTGACTCTGGTGGTCCAGGGCAGCCATTTACTCAACTCCCCACGCTGCTCCCTCACGCCTCCGCGTGGTGACGATGTGCATTGCGGGAGCACTGGGGCCGCAGCAGTGGGCCCCAGCTTCCACGTAATCCTCATCACGAGTCAGCAGCTAAGGGGTAGTTCACCCACCCTGGACCTGTTATCCCAAAGTCCCATGTCAGTGGTACCAGGGTGGGACGAGAACGCAGATTCAGAAACATCTGCAGAACCTGGAGGGGCAGAAGGGGCATCTGGTGGGGCCAGAAATAGAAACCTTGGTTTTGGCTGCAGCCGCCCAGATTCCCACCAGCTCCCTGGGGAGGAGGGAAGCAGGAGTGTGCACGGGAGCTCCTCCCTATCTCATTTGCAGTGTGTTCTGTGAGACTGCACTTCTGTTCACTAGACAGAAAGCTGCGGGTTCATCGCAGAGCATGGGCAGTCACTGTCCGCGGATCACAGACAGAAAGCGAGCCTGGTGGTGGCTGGGGGTGGGGGGCGATGGCCAGTGGGGTGACCTCACAGAGCGGCGCTTTAACAAGGCTTAGGTCTGCTGGGGTGGGCTTCACGGGACAGGTTTCTGGAGGAAACGTGTATGGACACTGATGGGGAGAAGGATGACGGCAGATGGGCACTTGCCTGGTTGTGATCTGGAGGGTCGTGGCCCTCAGAGCTGGGGTCCCTCAGAGACCTGCTCTGCACCCCACCCCCACCCCGGGGGCTGACATTACCACTGGACGGGCAGCTGGTCTGACGAGCGCCACTCAGGGGCTGCCCTCCTTGGGGACACCTGGGCAGCTTAGCAGGCGTGTTCTCAGGGAGTGACTCCAAGGGTGGCCTCTCGGGCATTGTGGCACCTGGGGGCTCAGGAGAGAGTGTTTGGGGGCCAAGGAGAGATGCTCATCTTGGCCACCAAACCTCCCCAGGTAGGTGTGTGGGCTGAGCAGGGCCAGTCCTTTCATCAGATCCCCTCCTGCCCCTCAGGCTGCCCTCAGCAGTTCTTTCCAGACAGGTTATCAGTGGAGAAAAGGTGAGAAAGGGGTGGAGACCAGAGGGGAGAGGAGGGAGCGGAAGCAGGGATTCCATCCTTCAGGACACATCAGACCCTGCAGGTTCTAGGGAAGCAGGAGGCACAGGGACAAGTGAGTGAACCCCATGCTTGTCCCTGCTTCCCCTTTAAGCCTTGCTTGTGGAGCTGGACCCATTCGCCTGAGCCGACAGGCGTGCTGAGCCACAGGCAAGCAGAGTTCTGATTGAGCCTGTCCCTCCGGGCACCCCTCCCCGTCCCGGGGTAGGACTTCTCAGTCCAGCCTGCTGGCCGCAGCTGCCACCAGAAGCCACCTGCTCCTCCTGCCTCATTCAACTTCATTTCCTCCTGGACCCAGGACCGCAGTCCCTGACCTTTCCCTGCATCCCTAACAAGCACGCCCACGACCTCGGGTGACTGCTGCGGTTTGTCTCGCCTTTTCAGTTTGTTTTTCTGCAGGGGATCAGAGCTGGTAAAGTAAGTTCCTCCGAGGCTCACCGCCCCCTGCACGGAGGTGGTGCAAAGGGCTGGGCTTGCAGCTGGAAGATTCCAGTTCCCTCCCAGGCTGTGACATCCCAGAAAAGTCACCTGACCTCCTCGAGCCTCCCTAAAACAGGGACCAGGGTGCTCACTTCGCAGGGCTGTGGTGAGGCGTAAGCGAGCTGCTCGGGCGCTCCTGGAGGGTGATGCTGCTGCTTGCTGCACCCGCCGATCAGAGGTCTGGGGACCACCGGAGGTCTTGTCCAACGTCACTAAGTGGTCAGAGCTCCCAGACCACTGTCTTTCCCACCCCTCCCCCTATCATGTTCCCCGACTCTTCCTGCTTTCTAAACCCAGATCTGGGAGGAGACCGTGGGGAAGCTGAAGGAGAGGGAATGGGCCCCTGGGAGATCAGGGGCTGCCCCAGGGCACTGGGTGCTGGCAGGGGGCAGTATGAGGGAGAAGGGTCTGGAAAGTGGGAGAGGGGGGTCTCCTGGACCAATTTCTTCCACTTCCCTTTAAAAAAATTTTTTTTGAAACATTTTTTCTTTCCTTTTTTTGGGGGGGCAATTAGGTTTATTTATTTGTGCTTTATTTTTTAATGGAGGGACTGGGGATTGAACCCAGGACCTTGGGCATGCTAAGCACACAGTCCACCACTGAGCTATGCTATGCCCTCCTCTCTCCTACTTCACTTTTATCAAGGACTAGCCTTGGCCCCCGCACTCAGAGGTGTGGCAAGGATAAGACTGTGACCCGTGGCCAACATGTGCCTGTGGCCCCTCAGGCTCCAGCCACTTGCCCAGACCGGCCGCCACATGGAGAAGCTCTCGGGTGAATGGCACTGGAGGGGTTGCAGGAAGCAGGACCCTGTTCACCCTGGTTCCCGACCCCTCAGTCTCGGGTGAAGCCACAGCCGGCACGAGAAGGGGGCCCCTGCCCCGAGCTGGCCCCCGCGGCTCCCACGTGGCCTCCCTGGGGAATCTCAACACACAGCCGGAGCGTTCGTGTGGTTTGGGTTTTGTTCTCGAGCATGTGACTGCTCATACTTCCTCTAAGTCTTGTCGTTTACTGCTGCACAGCTGCTGACCTTCAGCAGGAGAGAAAAACAAACTAAAACGAACACCCCCTAACCTAGTGTTCCCTGAAGTGATGTAATTTCAGCAATGTTCCCCTGCCATTTATTGCACAACTGCCGAGCGCCAGGACTGTGCCGGGGGCCTTCCACCCGTGACCTCGTTATCCTTCACAGCACCCCAGGAGGTGCCGGGGACCCCAATTTACCGAGGCTCAGAGAAGTCAGGCAACCTGCCCAGGGCCGCACAGCTGGTGAACAGCAAGCCAACATCCACAGCTTTCTCTGACGTCAGCATGCGCCCTGACCTGCCCTCCTGTCTGCCCCAGGTGTGGGCAGGGTCACTTCCTCCAGCCCCACCCTCTAAGAGGGACCCAACCCAAATCATCCAGAAAGACAGCTTAGTTAGGTCAACTTGGGGAAAGAAAGCGCCTTCCCCATGTCCCCCCACCCCAGGGCTCTGCGGGGGGACAGCGGGCAGTGCGGGGTTGGGAGGTGGTGGTGTGCTCCTGTCTAGAGCCACCTCCCCAACAGGTTCACAGCCCAGCTTCCCCTTCGCACCGCTCGCTGAACCAGTCTGGGCCTCAGTTTTCTCATCTGCGAAAAGGGAATGCAACAGTTCCTTTCTCATAGGATTGGGATGCTAACATAAGAATTACTAATGGAAAGCGCCCAGCACTTAGTAAGAACTCTGAACGTACCAGCTGTTACCATTCAAACCAGCCCCGGGACTCTGCTCCGTGTTGAACACTGGAGAGGAAGGACCAGGTACCTAAGGAGCGAGAGCTTATAATCCAGTCGTGCAGACCAGACCCCATCCCAGGAAGATTGACTGACAGCCCGGAACACCATGATGTCAGAGCTGTCACCGTGTGGCACATGACGGCCAGTGGCTGTGCCCACAGAGGCGCGGACAGAGTCTGGGGGCACAGTTACCAGAGGGACATCTCAGGCTGGGGTCGAGGAAAGGCCTGGGGACTGGACAGAGGGGCTCACGAGGATTGCATTGGTCATTTATCCCAGTGTCCCTCAACTGCATCCTGCATCAGAATCACCCAAGAGGATGGCTGAAAATGCGGATTCCTGGGCCCCAGGCTTGACATATTCTGATTCTGCGGGTCTGGGGTGGAGCTGAAGAATCTGCATTTTAACAAGTGCTCGCCTCCCCTGGGATTCTGATACAGGTGGCCCAAGACCATCTTTTGAGAAACACTGTTCCAGGGACACCAGCAACTTGTGCTAGGTGACTGATGACGTTGTGACTTGAGCCTGTGGGGCCGGGTCCCCAGTCATTTCTCGGGGCTGCTGCTGGGCGGTCAGGGCGCCCTCTGTCACTTGCCCTAGTTCTCAGGTGAAGTCATCCCCACCCTCACCCCAAACAGCTATGTGCCTCCTCCCCTTTCCCAGGGCTGTGCCCGTTAAGACACAAAGCACTTGGGAGACAGCAGCACTGAGTCTGTTCAGAGCCTCCCTGTCCTCCCCTGGGCTTGCCCATTGCCCCCTGGACGCTCACAGCAAAGGGTGGGGCAGGCGGCCTTTCTGCAGGTGGGGACGCTGAGGCCCAGAGAAGTCCGGGAACTGTCTCAAGTCACCAGGAACCCAAGGCAAAGCCTGGACTTGAACTTCTGGTTTCTGTCACCACTGTCACCCAAAGCACAGCTCTTCCTTCTCCACAGACCTGGGGGCTCTGGGCAAATCCAGCCACCCTGAGCACAAGGATGTCTAACAATTTCTGAGCATCTATTCTGTTCTGAGCATGGACCAGAGAGAAGAGTGGGAAACTCACCCACTGGGACGATGCACACCAAGCAGGCCAGGAGTCGGAAGGACCCTTCCATGTCGTGAGGTCTGGAGACCCCAGACCAGCCCCACACTCAGACCACCGGCGAGAACCCTCCTTGGCGTGGGTGGGGGGAGGGCGGGAAGGCAGGTGGGAGGGGGTGGGCGCTATGCCCAGGTCTGCATCCCTGCCGGGCTCTGCAGGGCTGGAGGAACTGGGGAGAGGCAGCCAGGCGGCCCCAAGTATGATTAGATGAGACCCGTGGGGTTTAGTCATGTGGAAAACCAGGAGGGGAACCACTTGGATGATTTTCCAGGACCGGAAACAGAGACGTGGAGGAGGAAGGCGCAGGACCTGTTCCTGTGGCCACTGGCCCCTTTAAAAAAAACCTCAGTTCTTATGCTTCCTTCTCACCCTCCCTCCTTCCCTCTCCCTCCCCTTCCCCGTTTCTTACCACATAGATGTCAAAGTGGTGATTACTGATGGAAGAAAAATCATCTCCAAATTGTCATCACTGGATGTGGCTGCACCACCAAACAGCACAAACGGGAAATAGTAAAATTGTTAAGCAAATCAGTCCAGACAAACACGGCAAAATGCTCAGAACATCAGAACGCCTGATCGAACTGTCCTGCTGCAGGGGCAGAACCTCAGGACCTGCTGCAGCGAGAAACTCGGGAAACTGGACGGGGCAGCGTCCAGGCGCGGGGCTGGCAAGGGCGAGCCAGTCCTTGGTTAGGAGGGGGTGTTTCAATTCAGATAAAGGCTAATCTGTTAAAAGGAAAAAAAAGCAAATCCCAAATATAGTGGATTAAAAACCTGGAAGGTGATTTCTCTGCCATATATAGGTCCCAAGGTGAGCTGTTTGTATTGGCAGGTGGCCTCACTCCTCGTGGTCATTCAGGAACCTAGGTTCCGTCACCCTGTCACTCTGCTGTCCTGTCTCCCCAGGGCACTCCATTGCCAGCCTGCTGTCTAACGTTGGGCAGACCACTTCCCTGTCTGTACCTCAGTTTCTCCAGTAAAACAGGGACAATGGGATGATGGTCATGATGATGGTAATTCTTGCCAGGTGGCACTCGTGAGGGCTCCATAAAGCGCTCAAGAGCACAGTGGACATATTAGCCTTCCTGCTGTGATTGTCAGTTACATCTCCCCCGGATTTTCAGTGCATTTCATGGCATTTCCAGCTGTGAACCTCTAGGGGGCTGCAGTATTGGTAAGTTCTGGGGTCTTAACAGGTGTTGCTTCCAACAAGAAGCCTGCCTGCTACCAGGGCGGGTGTAACAGCCTCAGAGCTGAGGCAGGGGGTCTACTCTAGGCTCCTGACTTTTTACCATTTTAATTTTCCTGTTTGGTCCACTCACAGCCTACAATGCACAGGAGGTGACCTGCACTGCCTCTGAGTGCTTGTCTTAGGAGGAAGGCGTAATAATTGCCTAATTGCCCACTGTACTGAGATGGGATCTATACTGGGAAAAACAGTACATGTGGTTGTATTTGGAATAAACAGCTTTGATGCCCAGGAAAAAAACAAAAAAGGAATGTAGGCTTGGGGTTGAGAGCTGTGACATAAATACATGGCACACTCAGTTAGACTGTAACCACCCCCGCCCCAGAGGCTGTGCTTCCATATATCTGGGGGCAGTGTCTGGCACAGCACTTGGGATGTGACACGGGTTCAAAATTATTTGAATTTGAGCTGTTGAAAGTACTGTTTGGTTAATTCAAGAATGATAAAAAGGGGGCCTTACCACAGAGCACACAGACATTAAAAAATAACAAGGGGATATTATGAACAATTCTACGTCCATAAATTCAACAACTCGGTTGAAATGGACCAATTCCTTGAACTACGTGAACTAGCAAAACTTAACTCTAGAAGAAACAGATAATCTGAACGGTGCTATACCAAGCTAATTAGATCCATAGTTTAAAACAAAGAAGACTCTAGGTGCAGATGGTTTAGTGAATTCTACCAACAATTTAACAAAGAGCTAATACCAATTCATAATCTCTTTTAGAAAACAGAAGAGAAGGATACATTTCCCAACTCAGTTTATGAGGTCAGATTACTCTAATGCCAAAACCAGACAAAGACTCTACAAGAAACAAAAATTACAGATCAATATCCCTCGTGGACAAGCAATTCTCAACAAAATGTTAGCAAATTAAACTCAGCAATATATCAAAGGGATAATACATCACGACCAAGCGTGGTTTATTTTAGGAATGCAAGGCTGGTTCAACTTTGAAAAATCAATCAATGTAATTCATTATAGCAACAGACTAAAAAAGGAAAAATAATATGATTATTTTAATAAATGCAGCAAAAATGTCTCACAAAATCCAACACTGATTCATTATAACTTTCAGCAAACCAAGGACAGAAGGAAAATTCCTTCACCCTGATAAAGAGTATCTCCAAAAAAAACTATAGCTAACGTCATACTTAATACTGAAAGACTGACTGCTTTGCCCCTGTGACTGGGAGGAAGGCAAGCTTTATCTTCTCTAGCCATCCCTGCTTAACATTATACTACAGGTTCTAATCAATGCAATAAGACAAGAAAAAGAAATAAAAGATATACAAATTGGAAAGGAAGAAATGAAATTGTCTTTATTAACAGACAACATGTTTACTTACATAGAAAGTTAAAAGAAAAAAAAAAACAAAACCCTGAGAAAAAGCCCTCCCGAAACTAATAAGTAAGTTTAGAAAGGTCACAGTATAAAGGGTCAATATGCTGAAATCAATTGTACTTAAATCTAGTAACAATGACTAATTAGAATTGTAAATTAAAAAATCCCAGAATCATTTACAATAATATAAAAAAAACCCCAACAAATACTCACATACAAACCTAAAAAAAAATGTGCCCGATGTGTATGCTGAAGACTATGACACACTGATGAGAGTGTTTCAAGTAAGACTTAAGCAAGTGGAAAGATATAATGTGTTCACGGTTCAAAAGTGCCTTAATTGTTAAGAGGTCAATTCTCCCTTTCTTTGTAAGCCTGTCTGACCTGTTTTATGATATTCCTTCAAGAGCAGAGGCCATCTTTTTTCATTTTTTTCCCATCTTCAACACCTAGCACCTAGGACTTCAAGACCAAGGTTATCTAATTACTTAATATGAAATACACCCGTTTTCCCTTATTATGTTGACAAGGCAGTGTATACTCGGGAAATGCTTGTGGAATGGCCATCCTCTGGCAGTGTGAGCTCCTTGCTCTCAGAGAGCAGGTTTAGATTTCAATCTGTTGTTCATATGGACTAACTTTCTGAAGAGCCAGATGCCTAAACTAAGGTGTCTGAACTAGTGAAAATCTAGCCTATCTTTGGACTTTGGTTTCTCCTGTTACTGGAGTTATCAGCTTTCCTATCTGCAGCTGAGCTCAAAGGTCATGTGAAAGCTGGGAGTCTTCAGGTATCCAGAGACGTCAAAATCAGATGCTTGCAAATTCCCACTGAGTCTCTCTGTTCATGACCACGGGCCAGGATTTGGCACAAATCATCTGTCAAGGGCCTATTGTGATAAGATGCGACTTTCTGCTCCATGACAAGCAGGCCAGTGAGCCTCCTAACCCAGCCTCAAAGGCCAAAGGAGGAGGTAGAGCTCAGCTCAAGGGCAAATCAAGGGTTGGTTGGCCAGGGTGGTTGGCTCTAGGTGGTTGGAGGCAGGGAGGCCAGGGTGGGAGACCTGGAAAAAGAATTCCCAAGGAGGCCAATGGGCAGCGGCAGCCAGAAGCCTAATGGGACCCTCTACTGTTGCCCTTGTGTCAGGACTGGAAAGACATAAATCAAGGTCAAGTGTGGGCAGGCGGTACAGAAAGAGCTACTGTCCATCCACACTTGGGCCAGGAGGAGGGGTGGCTTTCACAAAAGGGCTTGAGGAGAAACAGGGTGACTGTAGATACATATATATATACACGTTGTATTTATGCACATGCATATGAAATAACATATATACATATGTGTGTAACATATGTGTGTATATACATAGTAGCTGCTCAGTTAAATGGTTCATTGTGTTTATGTTTGTATTATTAGACAATAAGCCAACACTGCCTTCTCCCAGGTTTTCTGGGCTGGCCCATTTTTGGCTTACAATTAGGGTGGCTGCTTAATTTACTATCCAAGCTGGGATGCTTTTGTCTGGGACAAATGCTTACCTGTTGGGACCACCAGTACAATAGTCATAAACTGGGGCTCTCCTGGGCAAACCAGACATGTAGCCACTCTTCCAGATATATCCTGTACTGTGAGTTTCTTGGCAGAATGTCTCAAAGGCTTTATGGATCTATATACAAATACTAGGTGTGCAAGAGTGGAGGATGGGGACAGGTCTCGGTATTCCCAGTTATCAAAGGCAGAATTTTGCCCTTTTGTTCAGTGTTCCCTTGCCCTGCTCTTCCCAGGAGTCACCATCAGAGGGGATTGGGATGTATCTGCACAGGTCTTTGAGGGTGACCTGTAAGTAAATGCTGGCATCCTCATAGTTGAACAAACAGTGTGAGTATGTGAATCAGGGGCCATTGAGCTTTAAATGCCCAGTAGGGTTGTGCAGTATACAACCTGCACAACTGTATGTGGTCACCCTGTGTGAATGCCTGGGAGAAGGTAAGGAAGGATTGGAACATGAAACTAGGATTGTTTCCAGGGAGGTCCAGGGCCTCTCTCTGCAACCTGACACTCTTAATCAGGTTTAATCTGGTGAAAGTGAACCCCCAGCTGGTTCGTAGGTCAGTGGAGCCAGGGTTTAAACCTCAGGAGTGGTGGTGGGTAGGAACATAGCAATTGAGGAGGAAAGGTAAGAGGAACACACAGGAATTTCCAGTTGAGGGCTCAGAGTTACAGGCTGATAGGAATTTCTCAGTCCTTAGCACCTGCTAATTCCCTGACCACCCCAGATGAGTAAAGTGATGCCCCAGTCAGGGGGCCCAGGACAGTTTCAGCTGAAAGTCTCCTTTGGCCAGGAAACCAAGTCAAATCAGGTCTCTGCCTTGAAACTTCCAGAGAGGAGGTCATCCCTGAGACAGAATGGGAAGAGCTGGAGCATGGACGCTGGTCTGTGGGACACCAGCTCATCCCACACTGGGGCTGGGAGGTGGGACAGAAAGCTCGGGTTTCCTGAGTCATTCCATCTGGGTAAATGAAACCAGGTCCTACAGCTAGTTCTGAATGAAGACTGGGGACCGGTCGTTCTTTTCCATGTCTTCTTTTCGT